TCATAGAGAGACATCAAATGGTTCAGTATGGCCAGCATAGTAAGTCCCCATTCGCTGTCTTGAATTTTGGAATGTGTTGAATGCCATCTGGAAGAGTTGGGAATTTTTTTATGAACCCACTGAAGGAATTTGAAAGAAGCAATATGATGATTTTTGTGTAAAAATGATCTTTAGAGATAATTTCACTCGTTGTTTCTCAGTAGAGAAAGACTATTGGCCTTTCAAAAAACAAACAAACAAACAAACCTGTTGCTGTCAAGTCTATTCTTATTCATAGCAACCCTATAGGACAGAGTAGAACTGCCCCATAGGGTTTCTAAGGCTGTAATCTTCTTGGAAACAGACTGCTATCTGTCTCCCGTGGAGCTGATGATGGGTTCAAACTGCCAACTTTTGGTTAGCAGCCCAGTACTTCAACTGTGCTATGGCCTTTGTTGTTGTTGTTGTTGTTGTGTGCCGTCGAGTCGGCCTCGACTCATAGCGACCCCTCCTTGGGTTTCCGAGGCAGTATCACTACGGAAGTAGGATTGCCCAACCTTCTTTCCAAGGAGTGGCTGGTGGGTTTGAACCGCCAGCCTTCTGGTTAGCAGTCAAGTGCTTTAGCCACTATGCTACCATGGCCTTTAGGGCAGGATAATGTTCCATGTGTAGAATTGTCCCATTCCACTGCAGAACTATTAGCTTTCCTGGCCCCACCAACTAGTGTCAATAGAGCCCCCACTTCATCAATCATTGTGATTTGGGCAATAACAAAAGCCCCAAGGATTTCCAAAGTGGTAGTCATATTTTACTGTCAAGTGAACTGAACTTAAAAGAACCTAGGTCACATGGGCATTAATGACCACAGCTCAGATGTCTTAACTTCCAGTCCAGAGTAAACTAGTATTTTAAAAAGGAGACTCTGAAGGCAATAATTAGGAAGGCTTGTAGTAAAGAGGAATTTTTCTATAATACTTTAATCATGGAATACCATAATTTAACTCAATCTTTTTTTTTTGTACATTATGGTTGTTGCCCATTGTTCACTATTATTAGTGTTTTGAACAACTCAAACATTGATCATTTTCTTCTTGTGTCCTTAAGATAATTCTGAAAACTTTCTAAATGATCTAATTTTAGAAGAAACCAAAAAGAATCTAAAGATGATATAAATTCATCATTTGGGCCTTTCCTCTGGACTTGCTTGTTTGTTTACCATTAGGTTGTCAGTGTTTTCAGGGAGAACGTTAGCTGATTATTAACCCATATGCAATCTAAAACCTACAATTTTCAATCACAGCTTTAAAATAACCTACCAATTTACATTTCCAAATTGCTATGCCAAAGAGAAGCTTGTTTACTGGTACTACAACATATTCTCTAAGCACATCTATTTTGTTTTGCTAGAGAGCTAAATGTTTGAAGAGTCCACATTTAGAATTTTAATTAAAGCTATCAACATCAAAAGAAAAAAGGAACCCTGAAAATAGTCCCTACTACAAACTAGGTTCTACCCAGTTGAAGAACAGTCTTAATGTGTCAGGGGAGAGACCAGCCACTGGGAGAAAACACACATATGTGCACATGCATGCCCATATACCTGAGAAACTCAGTAAGACAAGTATCAAGTAAATGTCACAGATTCAATAAGTCATGGTAATTTTGGTTTTAAATGGCAAATTCATTCTTCAAGACATTTTCAGTCAGTAGAAAAACAGTGTTAGGTACTTGGGTAGTGCAAACATTTGGCTCTTGGCTACAAACCAAAAGTTGGTTAGAACCCACCCAGCAAGCGGGCAGAAGAAAGGCCTGGTGGTTTGCTTCCGTGAGATTACAGCCATTGAAAGCCCTGTGGAGCACAGTTCTACTCTATAACACATGGGCCACTATGAGACAGAATTGACACGATGGTAATAGGTTTGTTTTTTTAAGTTTAGAAAAGCAATTATCAGAAAAATCTACATCATTCTGTTGTATCAGACATCAACCTCAGAATGGATCATTTGGCACCACTTCAAGTCTAGAATAAACCTAAATACATACTAACTTCTCACCCAATTTTCAAATCTCAGAATCCCCTCTAGCAGTACCTGAAATTGTCTTCATCCCTGTGCACTGCAGGGCACCTTAGGTGGAGTGGATGTTTCTATAACCTCCCTTCTTCTGGGCTCTAGTCTGTAGGTCATCTAGTGCCAACTCTGCAGTCACCTTTAGACATTTCTATGGCTCAGGGACTGCTCATGCCCTCCATCTTCCTGTGTTTTTCCCTTTTAGCTTATTCATAATTTGCCTCAGGCTGTTTTGTCAGTGAGTCATCTCTGTTCAGATTACCCTTCAAATAGTTTCTGAAGTTTTTCAATCTGGTTGAGTTTTGCCAGTGAACTGGTGACCTCAGTAGTAGGCACCATCTTTCCCTAGAGCACTTCTACAACGTCCAGGAATAGAGGTGATCATCTTGCTGTGTCAAAATCCTCTTCATCCAGCAATTAAGCATGTTTTCCAAAGTGAGACAGCAAACATACGAGTTCAGTGAACAGCCAAGCCCTCTCCATTCAGTTATCAGATCTATCTGCTTCCCCAGTTTCTCTCTATAACTCATTCCTTAGAGTAGGCTCTGAAAATCTTGTCTCTGTAGCATCAAAAACATTTTAAATGCCCATTAAGGCAGAGTGACATAATTCCCTCCAAGGAAAAGAGAAGCCTTTTCTTCCATAGTCATCTCATTTCAGTCCCAGGGAGGCTTTGCATATGTACGGGGGAAAAAAGCAGAAACTTAGGGACTCAGTACTGGGTAGTCCAATAATCAGCAAACCTTTCTTTTAATACTTTATACTGTAAACATTTCATTGAGACTGGAAAATATTCCTTCATAAATAACGACTTCTAAGTCTTTGCATAGGTGTTCTGGTGGCATAGTGCCTACGGCATTTGACTGCTAACCAGAAGGCTGGTGATTCAAACCCACCAGCCACTCCTCAGAAGGAAGGTTGGATAATCAACTCTGTAGTGATACTGCCTCAGAAACCCAAGGAGGGGTCACTATCAGTCAGATCTGACTCTAGGGCAATGAGTTTGGTTTTGGTCGCATCTGGCTATAACAACTGGGCTGAGCTCAGTATTCTTGGCATCAAATGAGAATTCCAATGTCATTGGCAGAGAATCTATTCCCTTGACCTTCAGGTTAGTGATAGACAATGACAAGGGCCAGGAGAGAAGAAGGATAGATCTATGCCCCTTCTATTTCCAGAAGAGCAGCTCAAAGACTGCCATATGCAAATAGTGAATTGGTAGCACATCTCTGCAAAGGTTGTTATTCTTGTCAGTGTTGAGTATGGAAGTAGGACCCAAAAGGAAACAAGCAATTGCCATGTATTTAATTAGGAAGCCCTAAGTACTCCATTCTACATTGTCATCAGCAATACCATATATGGCCTAGATTTTAAAGTCACCATTTGGAATTGACTTGACCTTTCTAGACTTTGTAACATAGATTTCCTCACCTCTCCTGAATTATGTGTGAGTGAATTTCATACTGCTTTTACAGGGAGATTTTTCTTTCTTTTTGTATCTGGATATTTGAGCTTTTTATAGGTATCTTAAAAAGTTATCTTTGAAATTTTAAAAGAGTTTTAAAGTCTATTTAAGAGTACTTTGTCAAATATCACAGAATGAGTTATACTCGACACTAAATCCCATATAGCTGGTAAATGTACTATAATGTAGAAAGCAGCTGGCGCCTAGGTTTTAAATAGTTTACTCTTCATGAGTCTTAAGGAGCAAAATGTAAATGAAGTCACTGTTGGAAGTTCATTGTCATGCTCTAGAGTTTAGGGGATTTATTCAAATTAAAAATTGAATTAGCTTAAATTAATCCTCACAAATATCACTTTTAAGTGATATAAGGTATCCCGTGAAGTTTTGTCAAAACGCTTAACAGGCCAGTAGCATGGGAGACATATGTCTTGCAGTACGCATCAGTCAGAACCTGACCCTATCTCTTAGGCCTGAAAAATTTGGAACAACTTAACCTCTCTGGTCCTTAGTTTCCCCATTTCAAAACCCAAATCAAACCCACTGCAATCGAGTCTGTTCCAACTTATAGTGACTCTAGAGGACAGAGTAGAACTGCCCCATAGGGTGGGTTTCCATAGCTATAAATCTTTACAGAAGCAGACTGCCACATCTTTTTTCTGTGGAGCAGCTGGTGAGTTCAAATCACCAAACTTTTTATAAGCAGCCAAGTACTTTAACCACTGTGCCATCCCATTTTTAAACTAAGGTTAATAATGCTTATCTGGTGTAACTGTTTTGAGGGTATGAGATACTATATGAAGAAGTGCCAGCATAGTGGATGGAATAATAGACACCTCAACAAAAAATGACCATTTAAGTTTAAAAGATAACATTTAAAATAGGGATTCCACTCCATCTTCACTATTGAAGTTCAATGCTACCTCTTGGAAAGGAGGGTAATAAAGTTGCCTTTGCTAATAGTAATTTATCTAGAGCTTCCTTTTTAACATATTTATAAGAGAAATGTTTTCTTAGTCTTCTACATGTCATAAATTTGATTAACATTCATGTTCTTTGGCACAATCACTTCCTTAACAACAATAATATAGCACATAAACCACTCTACTTAGTTTTTGTTTGTTTGTCTGTTTTTTATTTGTTTTTCACTTGCTTATTTACCATCACTTTGGGTATCATAAAGAGCCTTGGTGGTACGGTGGTTAAGCTCTTGGCTGCTAACTGAAAGGTAAGTAGTTCAAACCCACCAACTGCTCCGTGGGAGAAAGTCTACTTCTGTAAAGATTTAAAAGCCTTGGAAACCCTATGGGACAGTTCTACTCCATCCTTTGGGTCACTGTGAATCAGAATGACTCAACAGCATGGATTTTGGTTATTGTAACTTTATTACTTTTTCAACTTATGTCAAGGACATATTGAAAAATTAGCATCAAAAGATCATATGAAATTGCTGACAGATTTCCAATGCTTCACTTTTATTTTGAAATTAGGCCTCAGAAGTCTCTAGAAACAGGGGAGCCTCTTTACTGGCCCGGCCAGGACATAGCCTAGTAGCTGCTATTAGAAGCCAACATCAACATGAGTCATTGCCACTGGGTATGTATTATGCTTCTTTGTACCCCAGGCTAACTAATATTTAGCCCTGTGTTTCTTATTATGCATTCTCATTATTCAAAACTTTGTATTTTCTTTCTCCTCTTTTATGATCCTGTCTACTCCCCCAATCTTTGCTCCAATCTTCCCCTTTGTCCCTTTTTTCTTTCCTTTTCCTGTTCACTTTGTCCTCCTCTCTTCCCCTTCCTGTCTCTTCTATATTCTCTTCCCTAATACCTCTTTTTCTTTATTCCATTCAGTAATTTGTTAACTTAGTACAAGAGGATATAGTTCAAATGAAGTGATAGATTTCATTGTTGTTAGATGAAGATTTCAATTTATACTTCTATTTTCCATGTATTTGTGGAAAAGAGTTCTCATAATCTTTACCCTAACTACCTCCTTCCAAAATATATGCCACCATATCAAGGAAAAGAGGCAAGAGAGTCTAAATGGATTCTGGTGTTTCTATTGTCATTACTAGGAAATTAACTTATGACTATGGGTCATTAGTATCAGTTGCTCAGAGAAAGATTTCTTTGAACTCATAAAGAATCTTTTGCATAAAAACTGTGGCAAAATGGCCAAGAGAAATTAGAAGGAAGAAAGAACTGTCCTCCTCTTTGGAGAGCCATTTTATTCTCCTTCCCCTGTTCACACAGGGATGAGTTAACACCTAGTTAAATTCCTGGATATTAAAGATGATTAATTTGGATCTGGTTCACTTTTAGTCTGATCTAAAAATCATAACACTATTATGTCACATTAAGAAGAAAAACCTTGACAACTTACTTTTTTTTTTTTTTTGATCAGTATGCTACCTGCCTTTCAAATACCTAGATTAATTGCACCATCATGTCAAGCAACCATTTTTCTGTCATCAGAGAAATTATATCTGGGCTACAGACTCAACCACAACTCTGCACTTTTGTCTTTTTCAGCATATAATGACAAGATTGTGGCATTTCTGCGCCAGCCAAACATTTTTGAAATGCTACAAGAGCGTCAGCCAAGCTTGGCAAGAAACCATGCACTCAGGTAGGAGTTCTTCCTTGTTGCTATAACTCCAGTTCTCTCCAGCTATTAATCCAGGGAGAAAACATCTCTGGGGAGAGAGCTGAAGCTGATGATACATTTTATTTGTGCATTTAAATTGTAACTTACATCCTCAAAATGAAGGATCCAGGGGGTTCTAGTGTTCTAGGAAGTGGTATAATCAGAGAGTCATATTGTCAAGTTAAAAATCTGTTGTCATTGAATCGATTCCTACTGTGCTCCATAGGGTTTTCAGTGATTTTTCAGAAGTAGACTGTCAGGCCTTTCTTCCAAGGTGCTTCTGGAGGGACTCAAACCACCAATCTTTCAGTTAGCTGCAAACAAGTTAACTGTTTGTATCACCCATTCAAATCCTTGCTAACCTCTCCAGGACAGATTATTCACTATTCTTCCCCCTCCACAACCACCTCGTTGACACCTTTTTTCCCTATGTTATTATTCTGTGTAAGTTAGAATCACCTGCCGACTGTCCTTTATCTCAACTCCTCCCTCTTCCTTCATCTTCACATCTAAACATTTACCCTGTCACAATCTCTCTTCCAGTCCTGCCTTTCTCTTCTCCCTGCCATGGTCCAAATTTGGGCCCTCATCAACTTCCTTCTGGACTTTGTGACGATCTCTTAAAAGATATTCTTTCTCCACTCCATTATAACCACAGTTACCTTCTTATAGCACAGATCAAATTATGCCATTCCTGTCCTTCAGAAAAACTTCCATGATTCTAACTGTATTGCAATAAAGTCCAGATTTCTAAGCACAAATTCTGAGGTCTCCAAAGTCTGGCCCTAACTCTCTATCCTATCTCTCTCTCTTTTTTTTCTCCCCTCCAATGTTTTCTACCTACACCAAATTGACTGTTTATTGTCCGTCTTTACCTTTACTAGAATGACTTCTTTTATAAGGCCATCTTATTTCATTTTAAAGGCTTGGATCAAACTCTCCCTCCTTTGCAAAGATTTGATGAACCAGGCAAACTTTAATGTTTCTTTTTCCTTACTATAACAGTATGCTTTTTGCACCCCTGATATTTTCCCATTATCTTAAGTATTAGAGTCCCTGGGTGGTGCAAATGGTTAGTGCTTGTTGTAGCCAAGACTGGTGGTTCAAGTTCAACCAGAAGCATCTTGGAAAAATGGCCAGTGATCTACCTCCAAAAAATCAGCCATTGAAATCCTTATTTAGAACAGTTATACTCTGACATACATTGGATCTCCATGACTCAGAACCAACTCAATAGCAACTGGTGGTGGTGAAAGTGGATCATATGTGTTACATCCTTTAATTATGTCTCCCTACAACACTATGTACACTCTTTAGAGCAGGACCTATATCTTCCTTGTCTTTGTACTCACTCTGCCATTTCAGAACCTGACACTCAATTTTATACATACACAACCCAACCCATTGCCATCTAGTTGATTCCCAATCACAGAGACCCTATAGGACAGAGTAGTACTGACCCAAGGCTGCAAGTCTTTGACAGAAGCAGACTTCCACTTTTTACCTTATGGAGCAGCTGGTGAGTTCCAACTGATGGCTTGTCAGTTAGCAGTTGAGCCCTTAACCACTGCACCACCAGGGGTCCTTAATTGTCACTTCCATTTATGTCTAAGTCTTGGGAATCATTTGTCCAGGTTTCTTTACTGAGCCACAGAATAGAGTGTCAACTAAGTCATATAGATCATTCATTCACAGGCTGCTCTTTGACTTACATTACCTAAACATTTAGGGGATTTTCATGGATACTCAGAGGAGTTGTATAATCAGAAAATTTTCTGACACACTGCTCTTTTTGGAGTAAGTTTGGAGAAGCTTGAACTCACCAAAGGCACTATAGAGTCCCACTTAAATTACTTGAAAAGTTAAAAAAAAAAAAAAAAACCTCTTTAACACTCTGTGTTAAACAGTAGAGTATCTTTCCAAAGAAAGGGAAACTGTTTTCAACCCTATTATATATTATCATATTATAATAAAATCTAAGAGACTTTAAAGGTTTTGTTGTAGTGTTGAATTATACAATTATAATTTTTCAGAGATGGAAGTAGGGGGGTACGACATGGAATCAGGACATTTAGAATGAGAAATGCTAATTTCCAAGTAGAAATTATTAAATATTGAAGCTAATAACCTTTAGGTTTATAGACCCCTTTGAAGACCCAATGAAAACTATTATAGATTCTCCTTTATATATAAACATAAAATTTTGCATACAGTTTCAGATGCCTAATTGACTCTATGGACCCTAAGAGAACTGTAGACCCCAGGTTAAAAACTCAAATATTTCATCAAAAACAAGTCCCAGAGTGACTAACAGAAACTGACTATAGGTAGAAAGCCAAGAGCAAGCACTTTGCTCTTCAGAGGTTAAATCTTAAGGGAATCAGGAGATTGGGCACTGCTACCTATGGCAAGGCTTTTCTAAGTCCTGGAATCATGATATAAGGGTGACTCAGCTCTATTCTAAAGGGTCAAGACACAAAAAGAAAACCACCTCTCCCTGCAAGCCCACTCAGAAGTTGAACTTACTGGTTCGTCTATAGGTTGATTCATAATGCATTTCTCAGTTTAATCTCATTTTGTGTATTTTTGAAGAAGCAAAAGTTTCCCTTGCCTTCTTAAAAAAAAAAAAAA